TGTTTTTTTAATGACAATCGGCGGTGTTACCGATTAATAAAATTAAAATCCACGCATTTCCACCGGCACACTGTTGATGCATATAAATTATGCCTGCAAACGCGTTATATCATATAAATTCTCGGTTGCTGCAGTTATCCAGCCACGTTTCAATGGTACGAGACCGAAGATTATAATTTGTAATGAATAAAATCACAGCAGGATAGGCGTGCGCATTCAATCCGCCAAGAATTCTATACCAGTAAACACTAAACATAGGTACCAGCGGCTATTAAAATAATTGCTGCAAGAAACGTAGTAGGTTGGCACTCCGGTGACAATCGCAATAATATAATATATACTTGTATAGGTAGGTAATAATAACAATTATATAATTTTGAGCTACGAGTTCCACTGTATAACGTGTACGAACATAATATTATCATTATTATTATTCCATTTGGAAAATGTATTGTTGTATAGTCAGAACGATATCGGTCGTTCAAGAGTCATTAAACCAAGTCCCGTCGTTCATATGGGTACGAAACACGAACCGTAGCTATCTCTCGACATTATCTCGGCATTTTAAAATGTAAGCAAAAGATAATATTATTATTTTTACGACTCGCGAATAATCAAAAATTATCTACACATCAGCTGCTATACCCACCTACTATAGTACCTACCTACTTATATTATTAATTTTCGTGCTCGGCTTACACTAAAATACAGAGTTACTTCTTCAAGACCGTCATAATTTTGTATTGTGTTTTTTTTTTGTTTTATTACATTTCATGTTTTGTCTTACTCGTGCACTGCAATATTTTATTTTAATATGTATTTATGACTGCGAGTTTTCAACTTAATATTATTATTGCACTATAGAATGTATAATAACAATTATTTTTTTTTTGCTTAGTGCCGCGTTTGTTGCCGACATTATGTTTAGGAACTTTTGTTTTTTCATTTTAATTCCAGAGGAACAGAAAACAGTACGTCATTATCCTTAGCAGCGCCTTAAGACGTACGACTGTCTTTATAAAATATTATAACAATAATAGCCAATATAATAAAGAGAATTTTAATTAAATAATACATTATTTTCCGTGAAAACGTGAAATTCCGCTCTTTAAAATTATTAAAATGTCAGCTATTTTATGGGACCATACTGTAGCCATGGTTGTCTGTTACATTTGTGGAAGTGTTTCAATGTTTGTAAGATGTTGTTGACGCATGTTTGGATACGAATAGGATGTAACTTTTTAACAGCTTTTTGAGTGGTTTTCGATAAAACTCAGACTTCGCGTTAATGTCGAGATTGTGTTGTCAGTAGAAAAGTGAGAGAAGGGTTCCTAATGACAGCGATATGTTCTGGAAGCCATTAATCAGCCCCGAGTGTCGATAAGACGTCGCCAGAAAATAGAGAAGTGAGGAATATTCAAAAGCGAGATGTCGATAGAGAGGAAAAAAAATCTCGGCAACATATCATTGATGAAATAATTATGAAATAAATCGTATACACTGTGCATAAAATTATATTCGTAAATGTCGTACATATGCTACCTACATAAGTATTTATTTTATGGGAAACTACTTACTGCCACAAACCGATAGTAATAATACGTCGTTATTCGTTCGTACGTCGCAAATATAGTTTTGAAAAATATACTTTAAATAAACTTTCTAATCGACTCTTCTTTGTTGATTACCTTAGGTAGGTATAGGTATATAATATGTTTGTAAATCGTTTTATATTATGTATTTTTCGTAAAATAATTATTAATTTATTACCATAATAATCATCGTTTGCACATAAATCACTCGTGGTTTGTTCGCGTTTACGCCTTTATAATAATGCGCGTGAGACTTTATTATCGCCGTAGAATTTCTGAATATATTATAATACAAAGCTTATTCATTTTTTCCATTGCAAATTACGTACCTACGTAATATTCGTTTGAAATACGAGTTAACAGGAAAACCGTAATCACGTCGCGACGCTATTTCCCGACCACAGCTATACCTGTATACACGACTTCTTTTAGACTATAGACTTATAGACTTCTCTCAGCGAGACGTCGGTAAATATCATCTGCCGCGTAGAATACGAATTAGCGCATTAGCATTAGTCATAATATTGTTACTACTCTGTAAGTTTAAGTTTCTAAAATACAAAACGCAATCCGAGAATAATCATTTTCTCGTTACACCATAACAATATATAATCATCATCATCGATATCTCCACTTTCGTATGAATCGCTCCACGTGCACATAATATTAAAGGGTCGTTACCTTTCAAAGTGTCAAAAACCTAGACAATAATAATAATAACAATTATTATGTTAGGTGCTACAAAAAAAATAAATAAATAAATAGATAAACTCCTAAGTTAATGAAATTTAAGAAAACATGGGTGCTTTGTTTGAACCCCTAAAATCCCATCATTCAACAAATCTGCCCCGCGAAATACGCAAAGGATGGCTACCCTGCATAATAATTCGTTTATTGTAATACCGTATTATTATTATTGTTGTCGTCGTCGTGACATCAATAGGCGAGATCACATAGCATGTGCGACACATATCGTTATTGTAACTCGTCGTATATAAAACCACAGCGGACAAAGTTTGTTTGGAGCTCTTCGGAATAATTACTCGCCCGCGACCCGACACGAGACGATCGTCCTCCTGTAAAATCTCACACGTCGCGCAGGCAGGTAAATCTCGACGGTTTCGTAGGCTGGCGCCTGCGCGAACGACTATAATAATTATTATACACATCCGCCGCGGGCACGTCTTAATACGGTTTATAGTATCATGTTAATCCGACGGCACATAATAATATATATATATATATACAATGGGTACATTACATGTTAATATACATTTATAATGTATATATTGTTATGCGCGTGTATAGGTATTATACAACAGTATATATTATAGTGTTTTCCAAACAAAACGCAAAACGCCGGGTCGCACCGGTTAAGGGCACACGCCACCGCAATCCAGACCTAATGTGGTGCTGTGTACGGCAACAGATGTTCCATTGTCGCGCCGCGGCCGTAACGCGATCCTAAAACGGACACGAGGCCCGGCCCGGACCGAAACTGTGTGTATATATGTACATAGTTGTACTGTATATATATGTATATATGTACCTATATAGTTGTATTATATACATAAACATATACATATACACGGAGAGTGTGTTTGGGTAAAGTTTTAATCTCGCCTCTTCTCCTCCGCGACCACTTTCCCGTCCGCAATCGGAGAACAGCACAGACCGACCAGCGGGTCTATACCATAGCGTTTCCCTTGATTAATAAATCGTCCGCGAGATGTAGGTATGTGTTTATATATATATACCTACCTATAGGTTAGGTATATATACTTGTAACTTTCCGTTGGTATAATAATATTATATACCGACATGGAATCCTTTTCGTCGGTGGTTCCTCCACCCCCTTTGTAGCGCCAACCCTTATCGTAGCCCACGCGATCCCTACCCCCCTCTCCCGTATATACAGCTGCGGCAGCTTGTCCGTTCGACTGAAGCCCGCCGAACACGATGAACTACACAATAGGATTCATAAAACATATATACTTTTTCGGGGCACATTATCAGGGGGGGGGGGTTGAAAATTATAAATCCTTCTCGAGCGCTTTCCGGGGCCATTATACGCGTCGAGCTAAAGCGTTCGGCAAACACCACCACCCCGAAGTCGGACGGATGAAAAAATCGAAAGCTCACCCCACCCCCCGAATCCTATAATTATATTAATTTATCGTACATGTGATTATTAAATTATGCCATCTCCGATCGACCACGAACTGTGTTTTACGTAGGAGGTTTTCAATGTGTACGAACAATATCATGATGTACACGCGTATTTATTATAAAATTATTGTGTAATATTATGAAATTATAAAATATATATTATGCGTGTAAAATGCGACACGGGGTGCGCGCGTCAGCCCAGTCGTAATCCTGCACACTTGAAATCACGGTGGTGAGCGGTAGGGGGGGATAAGAGATTCTCGAGTTTGATCTAAGCCCTAGTTTAAGTAGACTTAAACATTACATTATAAAATACGTCTTAATAAACCGAGCGTTTTACGCACGATAAACTTGATTTCGGTGCGATTTTGAATTTCGTATAGTATTAATAATATTATAGTAGGTATATATTATAAAATATTATGTTTAGCGTGGATTAAGTATGAAAAATATATCTTTATATATATAATTCTACTGTACTTGTGTTTGTAAGCGAACTCCTCCTAAACGGCTGGACCGATTTTGATGAAATTTTTTGTGTGTGCTTTAGTGGGCCCTAGAATATTTTAGGTTCACAATCGGACCTGGTAGGCCCATTCCGTGGAGGTGCTCAAACGGGAATGTTGAGATTTATGGTGGATATTTTTGTTTATAAATGATTGACATGGGTTTTAAAGCTTTTATAATAATACATATTGGTTTCCGTGAAATCAGAAATAATTAGAAATAATTTATAAACAACGTTAATATAATTGTATTTAGAAAAATTGATGTTATTTCAAAATAAAGAATAATGAAATTATTATATTATTTGACTTTCATTTCATACTTTATTTACACACGAGTTTTACTCAGTGAGGCCTAGTAATCTTTACCGATATTAAAAAATAATAAAAAAATTCTAATCAATTGAAATATCATGCAGGACAACGTCTGTCGGGTCAGCTAGTAAATATATATGTATATTATATTACCTATGTATAGTGTATACGTCATATATATTATAATATTATAAGGTTTGACGAAAATTGATTTTAATTGTATTTCCGTGATTTTTCTGTGTGTGCGACTATTTGGGCTTTTTTTTTTACAAATGTACACCTCAACTTTTATAAAGTATGTGAGTGTATTATTACTCGAACGTTTCGGATCCTTTTAAACATAATACATAACAAGTTTGAAAACGTAAACGGCGAAAGTTTCTTAATGTCGCATGACCTCGTTGAACGCCTATAAATAATGGACAAGTCATTGAACGTTTCGAAAACTATTCCAATGACTTCAATATTGAATTTTGGAAGTAGGCGAAAGTGCACAACGGGTATATAGTGTACACGAGTTATGTTTGACACGATATTGAAAAAAAGTTTCTAGGTATACGTTTGACGCAATCGAAAAGCAATAGAGTGGCTATATATATTAATAGCAGTTGGCTTTCGAAGTTTCGTTAATATCAATTTGTACTCATAATTTATTGAAATAATGCTGCCGCGGAGCTTTGCGAAAACAAAATATTATAAAACCACCTGTAAATATATAAAACATAAATATTATATATATGCGTGTAATACGTATACCTATATATTATATGTGGGCGTACGCGACAGTGTTCTAAAATGTGACCGCAATACGCGTAATTGGAATTGTTCAAATATTTTTAACGAGACTTTACTCGTGTTCCGCCGACGCGTATAAATTCCGGAAATGTTAATATTTTGTTGGCCATAAGCATAAGACATAAAACACTGAATCCAGCTATATTATTATACCGTATAGTTGATTGGCATAAAATATTGTATAATATAATAATACCTATGTAGGCCTACCAACCACCGAGATGTTTTAACCTTATTTTTTATGCTCGACCTAAATAAAGAGTAATTTTCCATTTATAATAATATTATATAATGGTTTCGTCCCGGGTGGTGTTCGCATATATTCAAATCTTACGTATTATTATTATTATTATACGAGTCTATGCGAGATATACCCGAGTCGCATTCGAGTGGAATTCATTTAAAGCTAGTTCATATATTCAGCATGTTCGACTTACTTAGTCGTATTATATAGTGTGCACTGCACACACACTGCACCAGCCACCGCGTGTAAGTAGAAAAACCCATCATCGTAAAAAACGTCTCCGTATCTCAGAACTCGCAGGTCTCCGCCGCCCGTTACTTATTCATCCCATTATTCATATTATGTTTTTCAACGCAAGAATATAGTGTGCCCCGTACCTGCAGCGGGTAGGCGTATATATATATATATAATATGATATGGCTTTGCTCGAGAGGATATACGTGTAGGTATACGGTTTATGAATTTGTAAATATATAAAACGCGTATATAGGTACCGCGGTATGAGTACATGTGCACCTGTATTATATAGACGTAAGGTTTTAGACAAGTTATTTTTTTTATAGGAAAAAAACACAACTATACCTATAACGTATAATATATGTGCCTATGTGTGTGCAGTGTATGTATTAAGTTTAAGGGCAGCTTATTTTCGTCGGCGAACCCGCGGCGGAGGTAAAATTGAAAAATAATAAATACGCACGCCACCGTCTGAGACGTAGTCGATAGATGGATAGAGACGGATATAGCTCGTAGTATATAATAAAGATACGCAGGGGCATCAAACCGTGAATTTTACGGCGAATTTCGAAACGATAATAATATTATATTTTAACATTCACGCCGGACACTGTGGCTGCGTCTGTCACGCGAGCCTAAGTCTTCCTCCGGGGCGAGCGTTGAGCTATAATACATTTTACCGACAAAAAAAAAAATACAAAAAGTCACGTTGTCCTCGATGTTACGTAAATATTATTATGAAAACGAGAATATCACAATGACGCAAATCACAATGACAATGATTTTTTAACCACCTGTTTCAGGGAGCAGAATCGTCCGCAAGTATCCTGTACTGGTTTTCATACACGGCGAATCGTACGAGTGGAATTCCGGAAACCCTTACGACGGCCGAGTGTTGGCCAGCAACGCGGAATTAGTCGTGGTCACCTTGAACTACAGGCTCGGCATATTGGGTGAGTTGTACGAAAAATTAACGATCAGAAACCGTCAAGATCGGTGATATTGAATTGAGTCCATGCTACTTTTATGTGTTTGAATTGAGTTATCTTAATATCTTTGAATTAAGTCCCATATAGATAAAATGTCATATAACTATCTATTAGCTAGTGGCGACCTTTAACCGTGCACATTATATTATTACACATAATATTATTATTTTTAAATTTTTTTTCTTAATTGACTCTTTATACTTATTATTACAATTTAAAAAAAAAAAAAAACAGTGCATATAATCACACACATTTATTAGGAGATTACTCAGCCAACCTCCACGTGGTGTGTACCGAGTAACGCTAATAGGTTGATAGGACTCATCTCGAACAACCTAACAATATTGGTCAGACTCAACTCTACTCAAAAGTACTCAATTCAATGTTATCCGTCAAGATAATATCACATACAGGAAAGTCGTATTATAAGAGTACGTGGTCTAGGAGACTTGGGCGTATCATTGTTGTTACGTATAATGTTATATTTAATTGGGTTCTGAATTTGAAATAGTTCAATGAAATAATGAGAAATATTTTTTAACTGATGATTAGAAATGATCACACACAGAAAATAATGGAAATGGATTAACAACAATGATTTACGAATTACTATGTTAATTGCGTTTTGATACTATCGGTAAATACCTATTATAATATTAAATATTATAATTTTGATTGTTCACATAAATGAAAGGTTTCAAGAAAATAAATTTCATGAAATTTTAAAACCCTAATAATATAATATGACAATTGAAAATATACGAGACACATAATATTGTCAGCTGTATGTGATTTAATATCATATGTTTAAATAAAAATAACGCACGTTAATATACGCTTCATGCAAACGACTTTATAATTAAGCACTACAAATAACAAACAAAAAACAGAATATTATTATATTATATTTTATAGTGTACTCATAAAATATAGACGTTATAATAATATTACACGCATTAGAAACGACGTTTATTATGATATTTAAATATATATTATTGTTATTTTAAACCCGCGAGTAACGTAATTTTATATGATGACATAAATTTAACTCTATAGATATGTAAACTTTGTAAAGATATTATAATAGATAAGATATTTACAACTTTCCTCTTTCCATACCTAAGATAAACATTAAACTGTAACAGTCCTCTTTAAACAAAATAAGATGTACCTACCTATATCAGTGTATTTTATTATTATAATTTATCATACTAAAATATTTACCTATTCTGAAAATAATTTCTCTGAAAGCGTAAGGCTAGATTGATAAAATGTATCGTACAAATTAAAAAACTTTCTAAGATTATTGAAGCGATTAAAAATTATTAAATAATAAGAATTGGTTAAAAAATGCTAAAAACCCATAATATATAAATAATAAAACCGTTTAAATGGATTTCATATACAATTAAAATAATATATAAATTGGTTTAATTGCACAATATTCACTTCGTACATTTCCTAGAATACTTCGACAAACTTTTATCAAACGACTGTAACTAACTGCAGTAGCCAATAGCAGCCACTCGGTATGTATACTTTTTAAAATATAATTATTTTATTTATTCACACAGTTGTAGTGTAATTACTAATTAACATAAACTATAAATAACTCTGAAATTGGTATTTGATTAAGATCGTACCTAGAATAGTTAATATTATCATAAAAATAATTTATTAAATATTCATCCACACTGATAATTGAAATAAAAGCTGAACAAAAAAAAACACATTTTCCACAGTAATTCAAACATAATTAGTTTTTTAATTTAATTATGTTTATGTAAAACACTACATAAAAACTAAAAAAGTATAGAAGATGAATTGCCTAAAGCTGTTACTCTCATTTCCCTCATCCGTAACGCTACGTTCCAAAAAATATTCAATTCTTTTTCTGAAAATGGTTTTCTCCGCAGAACTCGCTTTAAAATTGTTCTTTTTAAGCTTATACGTTTTTATTTTCTGTGTGGGCGAAAGGTAACGCCAAAGATAATATATATATAAAAAAAAAACAGTATACCAACGTATTATTATTATTTATTATAATGTATAATATTATGATTATTTATTCCAAGATTTATGACTTAAATGATTTTTTTACACACATGTTTTTAATTTGTACAATATAATATTACATTCTAATATTACCCACATTTAAAATAAATAAATAATAAAAATAAAATGTCTACTTAAAATATGTTGTATTGTATTGAGGCTCAAAAACGTGTTTCAGTGGAACTAAAATTTAAAAGCATGTCATAACGCGGGTCACTGTTATTTATTAAGCAAAACAAAATGGACGTTTTTCACTAAACATTTGTTTCAAGTAGCTACTGTAACTACTTACACAATGGCTTATTTAATAATTAATTAGCATAATATAATAAATTGGTTTATGGTACCTACTATGCTCTGAATTGTTTAGTCACTGTTTAATAATAATAACTATGTACATAGAACTGTTTTTTTTTCATTGACCCTATATTCTATAATAATCTGCGTGTTCAGGTAGTCCGACAATTTAATCATTTAAAATATATATCTGAGACGATAATTCGAACGTTTTTTGAAAATAATATAGTGTGATATAATATAATATTGTTGTGTCACGTGCTCGGCATTATAATAATAAATACTATATTCAATTAATACAATATTAGATTAATTCGTTTCATAAAGGAAAAATCAAATGTTATGATTTATCTACGTTGGTAGTACATAGCAATTATAACACACCGTCTAAACATCTTTTAAAAAAAATAACTTCATTGGTATGAAATATTATGTAAATATAACTCTTGCTGTTCTTGAAAATAAATTTAAAAATTGTTGTTCGGTATACGCTTAATATTTCAATTTCATTTACTAGTGCAAGACGTATTTTAATGGGTATGTTGAGTTCTGAGTATTTACAAAAATATATTCAATACATTATTATATTTATAATGTTATTTTGAGTATACATTAAACATATTTTAACCACGCGATAAAAATAAACCATTACAACTACATTAATAATACATAAAATGAAATTGATTTATAAATTATAATATTGAACTTTTTAGCGACTGAATGAATAACTATTTGAAGCATAACGCTTATTATTATGTTTGAACATAATAATATTATGTTTACCCATTGACATAGACATTTGTTGTTTGTGTTATGAAGAAAACCAAATTTCCTCTTATTGACCCAACTACTGCAAGTTCAGCATACTTGGTAAAAACAAATTTTGCTCAATCGATACTAGTCAAATATTTGTTTATCTTAGACGTGTAGTTTTTTTTGGAAAATGTTAGTCTCGTCGTACATTGATGTACCAAAACTTATGTAGGTAAATAATAAAATATCACATTATACATTTAACAATATTGTACAGTATTTTGTAGGTATCAGTTTTATGACGAGGGTTTTTATTAATCCAGATGAAATTGAGAACATGCCATACTAAAAAAAATTAGGAAAACATTCTCATGTTAAACATTTTTAATCTGCCAATATATATTCTAAGTATCAAACACACATTTTCAATTTGTCGGAATAAAAATTGTATTATCATAATATTATACTTATTCGTGCTGGCATGGATGTACCGACACATATTTAACAGATAAAAATAATGAATAAAAGTATACAAAATATTTGAATTTTTGTTTTATTGCATTCAACTTATTAGTAGGTGGCAATATGTAAATTATTATTAATCACAACTGCTTAATCGTTTTAAATTTCACTTAATTATTCTATGGAACGTTGCTAACCAAAATGGCCTTGTTTGCCTTTAGATTCCAAGTAGTTTTAAATATCAGTTACAATGAAAGTGCTTTGTTTAATTATTTTACCGAGTAAAATGAATCCACAAGTAGAAAATATATTACAATATACTTTCTTCTAGTTATAATTAATTCAGTTTAAATTTGCATAGTATGGATAAACATGTATAGTGTGAAAACTAACTTTAGAAACAATATCTATAGGCGTATTTAAAATAAACAAATATTCTTTGTGTATAAAACTTTTATAAAATTAAGCAAACCAAAGAGTTACATATAGTTTAAAACGAACAATTTATAATGTTATATATTATTACCTATACATTAATTGAATTAGATCTCAGTGTACTTAAATAATATTTTCTTGAAGTTTTCAAGGTTTCCAAAAACCCCGTTAAAGACTAGTTCAGTATAATTTTAAATGAATTACAATTTGTTTTTTCCTTGGATTAACGTTAATTTTTTTTCTTTTTCTCGTTTAATACAAATTAATATACTATTTTTTTTTTTTTTTTATTAATCTTTAAAGCCCAGCGACTATGACCATTAGCTCATAGTGGGGTTTTTATGATTGTAGGTAGTAGGGTTTGTACTAGTAGGGTTTTTACACGTGTGTGTTGTGTTTGGCAGAATTTTGATTGGGCACCCGTAGGTATCTGACATACCCGGGTGGGGGATTGCGGCACTTGTTCTCCGGACACCGTGACTTGTCCGAAGAAAAATGCCGCCCGTGGCTAAGGAATCGAACTCGGGTCGGCTGCGTCGCAGCCGACGCCTTAGTCCGCTCGGCCACTAGTATACTATTATTATCGTCGGATAGTTCACATCAGACATTTTATGTCAATACGTTAAATTCAAAACACACTAAAATCACGGTTCTTAACAAATTATAAAAAAAATTAACTAAAATAAAATGTATATACATAAAAGTATATATAGCTATATTACAATAAATTAATGTGTTTAGTTCAAATGTACATAGTAATTTAATAGTGTAACATACAGATAGGTACATTTTTGCCATTATAATATAAAGTAAAAAATGACATTATGACGTATGTAATACGTATAATATTATAATATATATATATATATATTATATATATTATGTAGTAATTATTTATACATTTATTTATATTCATGTCTTGTATAGGTACCTATTTTATATAACATCATAATATTAAAATC